CACTAAAACTTTTGTAAACTACAATAAAAATGAATTGCTAAAAAAGAAAAGAAGACATACAAAACAAAAGCCCAAATTTGTAAATATATTGGACAGACAAAATCACTCTGTCCATTTACTATTAAAATTTAAAGTCTATACTTAGCTCTTTGTGGATCAACCACGGTTTATAGATCAACTGCCGTCTCTGAGCCACACTCAGGGCGTCACTGCCTTAGAGAGACCTCAAGTCAGAGCAAAAGACCAGCTACCGGGCTAAGTGGTTGTTAACACCCTGTGCCGAGTTCTCATGGTAATCCCATGAGAAGGGCGAGATGCAGTGAGCGAGATGAGTCTGGTAAGTGCAGGACCGGATCCTGTTTTTATTTAAAATTTTGAAATTGTTTTCATCATGGATTTTTTGCATTCATTCTTATTTTCAAAAAATATCGTATCAAAATAATATTTTCTTGATTACTGAGTTTTTTGGTGCCTCTTTAAATTCTGCATCCAAAGTGACTCCCTCATTCACCTCTCCCTACTCCCTGCCCTGGGGAAGGGCATCAGATTTACTATTACATAGAGAGAAAGTTAGGCTAAGAGAGGTTAATTACTCAATATGTGAATAAGTGGCTGAGGACTGAACACAGGTCTAACCCAAACTCTATATCCTTTGTAATGTACTGCACTACTGCCTGTGCTGAGCATTCACCATCCATTCATTCAGTCATTCACTCATTCATTCACTAGTAACGCCATACAAGATCAACATTAAGTTGTGTGCTACACGCGTAGCTGGAAATGAGTAATTCAGCGTCAGTTAATGAGGGCCGGGTGATAGACGACCTTGAACGTGAAGTTGAGGAATATAGATTTTACCTGCAGTTACCGGGGCCTTCTGGAAGTGACGTAGTCAGATTTAATATCTAGAAAGTTCACTCTGAGTGCAGTGGGGTGACTTGGTAGACTGGAGTGGGCAGAACTGGAGGCAGATACCCGGCTAATAGAAGGATGCAGAAATCCAGGGAAAAGATGAAAAAGAAGTGAAGACGTGGTCACATTTGAAAGGATTCTTATCGTCGGCATTTTGAAGAAAACGGGTGCAAGGAGACATGGAAACACAAGAAACTGGTAAAGGAGAGAGCAGAAGGCGGGCAGCATCTGCGTGCTCAAGGACAGGAGGAAGGAGGAAGGCGGCAGTGGGCGGAAACAGCAGTCGGATTCTCAGCAGTGCTAAAATTGTCCCTGCCACTTGGCAGGAGTCAGTTCAGATGTCCCAGATCCAAGAGCCAGGGCCTTCTCCTCATTCATACAACTGCGCAAGGAGCAAATTGGTGAGATGCACGGCCCCGAGGATCCCCTGGCAAATGTCAGTTCTATCCTCGGGAGTGTTCTAAACCCTCAAAGCCTTGTTTGTCGAAGTGACAACAATGACAACGAGTTATTTCTGCCAGAGGGAACTATAAGAAATTTAGTCTGGCTGATAAAAAACATTTGTAAAGCACAATTCAAACATGAACAATGCCTTTTAGGAAAAATTAATTTAGAATCTAAATCAATACATAATGAATACTGTGCCTCAATCTTTAGAGACCCTAAATGGTACTCTTTCCATTCTTGGCCATTTTTATAATGAAAAAGAGAGATCCACGAGACTGTGGATGACTTTACAATCCTCTAAGCTTTCTCACTCACGTTATGCATTTATTTTTGCCGTTGTTTTGCATATGCATTATGCACTTGTTGATTCTTTCAACAATTCTATAAAGTGGGAAAGGAAGGAATTATTATTCTCATTTTGCAGAAGTGAAAGCTGAGGTCAGAGCGGTGCAGAGATTTGCCCAAGGTCACGCACAGGCAGAGCTTTAGAGCTGACCCTGGGACCCGGCTCTCTTGACTAACAGTATTCTTTCCACTAATTTCCACCATTCTGCTTAAGCAGCCTGTGCTGTGTGGCTTTTCTGGAAGTGCAGCATGATGATCATTTCATCATCTTCTCTCAAAGATCTGCCGGAGGTCGATCGTGAAGGAGGATTGCCTACTTCTCATAGGAGGCAGCTGCAGAGCCACTGACTTGGAGTCGAAGACTGAGACCCCCCCCCCCGCCCCCGACTCTGCAACTCACCTTGCCTGTGACCTTGGGCAAGACATTAACCCCCGGAAGCCTCAGTTTTCCCAGCTGAAACATGGCAGCAGTTTTCTCTATTTTACTAGGTTGTTATAAAGTGGTGTTGTCCTGCAGAAAGGAGAGGAATAAAGAGATGAGACACTGTGTCCATTAAATGTAATTGGAGGAAAAAAAAGAAGAACCTCAGGGTATTTAGGGCCCCTAAGGCCTCACAAGGATGTGTGAGTGGGAAAGAGGGCTTGGAGAAATGTGTTAGAAATCACATGAATCCTGTAAGAATCCGGAAGACAGAAGAAACGTTCACTCTTTGAGCACCTGCTGTGTGCCAGGGACTGTGCTGGACACTTGTGAGTACATTATTAATTCGGTGACTGCTTTTTGACCACCTACTATGTGCTGAGCACTGTTGGAGGTCTTGGGGAGCCCTAGGTGAGGAGAGACACAGCCGATGCTCTGGAGACCCATCCCCTCCCTTCCCATGACTTAGCCAGGAGAGTTAGCTCACCGGGACAGGGCCCAAAGCAGAGGGTTGTAGGGCTCTGAGGCTCCACCTTTCTAAGAGGACACTTCCAGGAGGTTTCTACTGCTATGTGGTTGCCCCTCCTCACCATTATAAATATGTAGACCTTCCAGGGAGTGGAAGCTTTCTGTCTACTAGAGCTGTTTTTATGGTGCACCTGACCTAGGCAACCTTCTCTGGGATAATGAATCTTGAAAGACCGTGTACACTCAACTGCCCTCCTGCTTGTGATATTTCCCCAATGCGCTCCAGTTTATATTTATACCACATGATACCGGTGGCATGTGTGTCTACGTCTTTGCTGCAGAACACAAAGACGCTATTGTCATCAAGCGAACATTTCCGTGGATGAGGCAGACAATGAAGAATTAAACAAAAGGTTCTCTGTCATTGATTCCTCCCAGCTTTACCATAACTGTTCAGGTTTGAACCCCTGCAGGCGATCTGTGACTCTCATCCAACTATGGCTGAAACCCTCACGTGGGTGTTCCAAGCTACTCTTGTGGCTTCGACTATCATCTAAGGGCTTGATGAATCCCCTAAACCTTTATCCCCAGTTTAGATCTCTCTTCTCAGCACCAGACTCATCCTTTCAGCTGCTTCCCAGATGTCTCCATACGTGTTCCAGAGGCACTGCAACCTCCATCTTCTCCTCCACTTTCAGTCTTCAGTTACGTAGTCCCCATCGATCCTGCCACCCAGGCCAAGAAACAAGACTCAATCAGCCTCCATCTTTCCATCACCCTTTCTTCCTACAATCTGTCACCACACCCTGTTTGCATTTCTGGCCTCTTAATCTTTCTCTCCACACCCTCTTTCCCTTAGGTCCAGCCACAAAGTCTGAGCTCATGCTTACATTAGTTTGCTGACTGTCTACCCCCTGCAATTACCCCTCCCTCTTGTGCTCCCTCCACCTTGTACCACTGTGATCTTAGTGGAGTATACGTTTAAGCAGATTACTCTCCCATTTCCAAAAGCTTGAAGGAAAAGGGCCAAACGCCCATGGATGGCTCGACTCTCTCCCACCTCCCCTCCAGCTCCTCTCCCTGGAAGCGGCCTATGCTCTGGCCCCACTAAACTTGTCACCCGTCTCCAGATGTAACTTGCCACTTGAGACTATTTAAGTCTAAACCCTTTCTCGAATGCCCTGCCTAAAGGACCTGGGTGAGGGTCTCAGCCACAGTTGGGTGAGAGTCACAGATCGCCTTCAGGGATTCAAACCCAAACAGTCACGGTAAAGTTGGGAGAAATCATAAGCTGGAAGAACCCCAAATGTCTATCAAGATCCAGCCTCATGCCACCTCTATTTAAAATACTTTCCCAACATCCTCCAGCAAGAGAGTCTCGGTTCTCAAAACAGTTGGAAGGATATATCTTAATGTATCTTCTTTACACCCCTAGTTTCCTACTAGACTGTGAACTCCTTAAAGAGATCTTTGCATCCTTAGGACGTAAGAATTCACATATCATAGGAACAACAATATTAATGAAAATAAATAATGATAACATCTATCTTTACTTAGTGCTTACTGTGTTCCCAGCAGTAAGTTGTGTATGTGAGTGTGTGTTCACACGTGTATATATGTAAATAATCTTCACAAGAATCCTGTGAGGTAAATGCTATCATGCTTCCCATCTTACAGACGGAGAAACTGAGGTAAATATGTTAACTGACTAAGTAAATATCACACAGCTAGTACATGGCAAAACTGAGTTTCAAACTCAGGACCAGAATCCTTGGTCTATACCACTGAGCATTCCTGCATCACACAGGGCACTCTGCAAATTTTGGTGGTGGGTGGGATGACTGACTGAATGATTAAAACACAAGACAAAAGGTGATGAGGATGATGAGAATGATCACAAGTAAGAGACCGAGGGCCATGATGCAATTTAACAAAGGCACAGAGGTAGGTGACATGAGAGTGTTTGCCTCGTGGAGAAGATGGTATAGACAGAGGGAATGGTGTAGACAGTGGGAACAGCGTAAGCGGAGAAGACTCTGGAAAGACTGCAGCACTTTTAGGAGAACACTGGGGAGTCCAGCATGGCTGCAGAACTACAGAGCAGTATTTAATCCAAGTGAATGTAAAGTTTCCCTTGGAAGCTAAAAGTATTTTCATTACTCGTTGCTTTTCTCAGGCCTGCATCATGACCTCTGTGGGCCCAAAGCACTTCTGCCTTTGTGGGCTCCCTCCTTCATAAAGTCTTAAAAATTATGCTTCGTAACTGCATTTGTATAAAGATGAACATATTCATATTATATATTAAAATATTTTATTTGACCTAAAAGTTAAGTTTTTCCTTCTGATCTTACAAGAAATTAAAAATGGGCCCTGAAAGTCTGGTGGGCCCTAGATATCACACCTTCTGTGCCTAACGAATAAATTAGCCCTGACTTCTCTCTTAATTGTGCAAATCAACAAGGCCCTCAGCTGTTCTCTCTCAGGGATGAATTGAAGGTGACTCAGGCAGGGTTAGTTCTCAAAGATCATTGTTTATTATCAATTTCTTTATTTGTAAATTGAGAGAAATAGTCTCGATCATCTCTGAGGGGCTTTCTGACTAAAATCTATGTGCTCTCTGTTGTTTTTAGTTACTTAACAGCTCACAAATCTCTTTCAAGTTTATCATCCAGTTTAATTCTCATGAATTCCCATTATTCGTAGAAGGAAAGTGAGGCTGGGGGAGGCAGCCTGCCTGGTTTCACAGCTTCCTTGTGGAAGAGGGTGAGGCAAGCCCAAGTCTTTTAACTCCCATGCACTGCTCGACATCAGTGGCTTGTTCCAGGAAATAACCCCTGGGGTAAAGAGCTGCCGACACAGCGTCCACATGCAGTTCACACAGTCATGTGTGGTGGGTCATGAAGAGCCGGCTACATGCTGTAGTGGAAATTCTCCTGGGCTTGGAGTCAGAGATGTGAGTTCTTGTCTCAGCTTTACCGTTGCACAGCCTTGTGCCCTTGGGCATGGTGTTTAGCCATTCTGAGCATCACTTCTTTTATTCGTCAGCTCGGCTGCCATAACAAAATTACCATAGACCGGATGGCTTAAAGATCAGAAATTAATTTTTCATCATTCTGGAGGCTAGAAGTCCTAGATAAAGGTGTCAATTAACTCAGTTCCTGATGAGAACTCTCTTTCTGGCTTGCAGATGGCCGCCATCTCACTGGGTCTTCACATGGCCTGTCCTCCGGGCATGCACATGGACAGAGAGGTTCTCTCTCCCTCTTCTTGTAAGGTCATTAATCCCATCATAAAGACCCACCCTCCTGACCTCATCTAACCCTAATTACCTCTCAAAGTCGTATCTCCAAATAGTATCACGTTGGGGGGTAGGGCCTCAACATATGAATTTGGAGGGTACATAATTCAGTCCATAATACTTCTTTAATTTAAGAAGTGGGCATAATAGAATATTTGGGAGAACAAACTATAATTCAATAAGGAAATACATATGTATGTATATTTTAAGACACCTTCATAAAGAGTAAATTTTTGGCTTTAAAGGGATTAATTTCTTAGATTTTGTCTCTGTTCCTGCTTGTGTGGCCTGTCCACTAGCAGATGCCAAACTGTACTCAGGACCAATGCAGAGTTATTGGTCAGTGTGAGGGGTCCGGCCTATCCAAGTCCACAAATATTTTACTTTTCAATACCTACAGTGTTCCAGGCATGGTGCTGGACCTGAGCATGGCTGGGAAGGGAGACACAGGTACACAGCCACACACTAACACCAGTGTCCATTTTATGGTGTTCAGTCTCAGTGGAATACAGGTCTAATAAGAAGAAAATGACCAAAATAACATAGGATGCCAGGAGCCAAACAGAGTAAGGAGGAAGGAAGGGCAGTTGAGAAGAAAAGCAGGAGATCTCCCCTCCCCTCTTTGGGGCTGGTCTGTTCTCCCCCTCTTGCTTCTGCACGCCACAAAAAGAGAAATCCGGAATAAAACCACCTAACAGGCAAAGGAAGATTTGTTTGTATAATTTCCTAATAAAACTATAAAAGTTGGCCTGATTCTTCTTAGCTGAGTGTTCTCTCCTCTATTGTCGGCCAGGCTAATAAGAAAAGCATTGTATTGAGGAAGTTTGGGCGTGAATTTTATGACTCCCTGAACACTTCTGAGCAAGCGAAGGGGAGGCATTACTGTGAAGTTTTAAAACTCCTACTACTTTGAAATTATCACCAAGAATTGTCACAGGGGAACGCAGCAAGACGGCGATTTCTCCTTGTTTTACGCCACAGGACTGAAAAGGGAGTTGAAGGAGATTAATTACATTCCTTGCTAATCAATGCGAAGACATATTTTTCTGCTTCTCCATCTCATAATTTTTATTTCATCTAGTTTGGGCTTTTTTAGGGTTGCCAGATGTCCCAGTTTCAGTGGGACAATCCTGCGTTTTGAAGGTACGTCCCATCTGCTCTTGAAAATATTCCTGTTCACTGCTCTCTCGTGGACTGTAGGGTTTTTAGCGCTGCCAGCCAGAGTACGGCTGCTGGAGAGAAGATGATAAATTATTGTAACACTATGAAAAAAAATCACTCACATCCACCACCACCCCACCTCAGCAATGCTGTGAATTAATTCTGCAAGAATCTTTGTCATGAAAGATGACTCTCCAAGTCTCCATATGGGAATTTGAAACGCTTTCCACAATGGCTTTGAGAAGACAGAAGACGTAGGCAGGGCAGGAAAGAACGTGTGGAATGGTTTCTGGACTTGCTGCCAGAACACCTGGCTCTGCCATTTTCCAGAAGAGTAACTTTGGGCCAGATAGTTAAGACAAGAAATTGTTTTCTGAGCACCTACTGTTTACCTCACTTGATGCTAGGTGCTTTAGATAAAGTATCTGATTGACTTTTACAATAACGTTGGATAGCATAGGTTTTATCCCCATTTTATAGATAAGGATGTTGAGGCTCAGATCCACTGAATCCAGAACTCCTTGGTGTCAAACGCCCTGTTCTTTTCACTACCGATAACTCACTTTCTTTATCTATCAAGCAAGAATAATAATTATCTATACCTTGCAAGATTTGAAACCGAAGTTGAACAGATTCTCTAAAGGTTCCTTCCAGGGCTCCAATAATGGGGGTGGGGGAACTTGTCGGTTAAGGTCCTGTCTGTGGGAGGTTTTAAAAGGACGAGTTCCACTGAGCAAACATTCTTAGTGCTGGTCTAAGTACTTTTTAACATGGCCTCAGACTAGATGTCAAGGCCAGCACCGTCCAAGATAAGCTACATGATTTTAGGGCCATGCAACCAAGTTATCTTCAACCTTTGTATTCTTACAGTCCTCATTTCTCCTAGTGGAAGCATTGAAACTCCTGCATCAGTTCAGCTGTCCTCTGAATTGGGCCACTCATTACATCATGAACAGCCATCCTAACTTATTGAGAGTAGGCTTATAATATTTATTTTAACGAAACAAGGCCCTAACAGCAGAGACATGGTGGTTGCTGTCCCAGGCAATGGGGTAATGTCTGGGAGAGAGAAATTGCAGGTGAAGCTGTGTCACCAAGAGGCAGATAAGAATGTTCTGGAATCCTGTGGGAAAGGCACTGAATGATTTCATTAATACACATTGCATGGTTTTCATCACACCCATAGCTTGATTTCTTTTTTTCCAGGCCCACAGCTTTTTTACTGTCATGCCTCGATAGAAAAGCCTCAATGGAAAGAAACTCGCTAATCTCCAACGTGGGCCTTTGTCAGCATGTCTAAGGAACAAATGTGCGAGTGGTGGAGGGATCCCAAAATACTGCTAGCACGTCAGCTGTCATCGCTTTGGATGTTTTGCTGGCAGCGCAGCCTACTCATTTTGTTGTTTTCCCCCTGCCCTTCTTGAAGGCATTTTCTCCCCATAACGATGAAAATCTTTTTCTTAGATTTCAGTTCCTTGCACTCCTACCCTGCCCCACCTCTCTCTGTCCTTTACTGGGGGTTGGAAGTTTTTATCGTGTGAACTGTAGAAGTGCTTCAGGGGGTCAATAAACTCCTCGCCATTTTTTCAAAAGTGTGCATGTGTATGTACATTCCATCAGGCTCTCAAAGGGTGCATCAAAATAATTAAGGACTAATACATCAAAATATCCCTTTCTCTGGGGTTGTAAGGCCAAATATAGCAATCTGGATGGGAGGTAGGAAGCCCAGCCAATGTTCTTCTGGTGGAGAAATGAGAAGTTATTTCTAATCCCAATTCCCCATATCATCACAAGCAAATTACTTTAGCTCCAAATTCCTCTTTTCTCAGCTGTAAAATGGGTTCAATCTGTGTCTCACTGACTCACCAGCCCTTGGTTTTCCCTGCAGCCCATGCTCCGGGCACGTGGATTTTCTTACCAGTTCTGAAGACTCCACCCCCTCAGGGCCTGAGATGATGCCCCATGTTGGTTTCTCCACTTCTGACCTCTAATAGTTCTCCTACCACATTCTACAATAAGTAGGCATTGACCCGCCCACATCCCCTCTATTTGGAATATCCTGGGCAGTGGTGGCCCTGGGTTATTCACTTACCACCAGCGTCCAGCACCGGGAATGAAAGCAGGTGTTCATCAAGTTGTTGATGAGATTCAGCTTGTCTGAATTCCCACACGCCCTGCCACCCTGCTATAGAGAAAAAGAAGAAATGAGCTCAGCAGCCATGAGTTTCTAAGGGCGAAGAGAGGGTGGGTGTGTGGGGGCCACCTAACCGCCTCCCTGCATTTATTGTGCAGAGTGGAATTCTGTGCTGGTTACTAAAATACAGATTCCTAGGCTCTGCCGGCAGAGATTCTGACCCCCTTTGGGATGGGGCACCGAAAGTGCACTTTTAACATGTTCCCAGGTGGTCTTGCAAGGCTTGGTTTGGTCAAGGTAGGTGGAGACTCGACATTAGTGGACTGAAAGGCAGCTGCAGCCTCCTTTCCTAAGATCAGATGAGCGTCTGAGGAGCTGAGGGAACCATTGGATTTCCTCGACTGCCCTCTAGGTGGCGCTGTGCAGAAGCGTCAGCGATGCAGAAAGTGGCCCACCTCTGGGCTCTCGAATATTCGTTCCTCAGGGCGGGCCCCCAGGTGGGGCTTTCTGCTGTGTGCTCAGGTTTGCCAACGCCCGGTGTGTGGCAAGTATGAGGTTCTTCTCCAGATTTCTGTGCTCATCCTGATTTGGAGAGAGAGCATTGTTTCAAAGACAGGAAGATGTGTCTGGTTTCCAATGGTGCTTCTCACTTGTCACACAAAACAATGAGTTCAGAAGGGTGGGGGTTCAGTTACTCAACTACTTACTTTCCTCCTTGACTGTTGTTTTTAATTACAGAGTAATGGCATGTTTTTGTAGATGATTTCAAAAAAAGCATATAAACAAAAATAATTTTTAAAAGTCACCTGAAATCACACCACCCACAGATAAACAGTTAACATTTAGAGCATATCCTTAAAAGGATACTATTTGGTAACCTGTTTTTTCTTACTTAACAATATAACAAGAACATTTCCAGGCTAGTAGCCACGTTTAAATCATTTTTAAAAGTTACATCATATTATAGTAGTTCATTTATAGATGGACCATGGTTTGTTTGTCTAATTCCATATTGTGGAGCATTAAAGATCTCTCTCTCTCCCTCTCCTTCCTCTCTCCACCCTTCCTTCCTCCCTCTTTCAGGGTCTTTGGCTTTTATGGCCAACTCTGCCACCAGCATTCTTGTAGTTGCCCCTTGGTACATTTGTCCAATAATTTCCTAAAGTATAAATTCCTCAAAATAGAATGTCTGAGACAAAGGATATATAATTACAGTTTGTAGTTCTTACTGCTTTCTGGAAAGGTTGCCTACTTTACTTGCACCCCCAGTGAATGACCTCCCTGAAGCGATGCTCTGAAATCTTCCGGGACAATTTGTCCTGCTGATGGTCTGGCAGAATTCAGTGGTAAGTTAGCTTACCAGCTCTCCATCCTAGCGAGTTAGAGAATCCTGGCTGTAGAACACCTTCACAAGGGGGCCGGTTGAATCTACCTTGTTCTAACAGAGCAGTCTGGATGGCAAGCCTACTCATCCTCTCCATCCTTGCCATTTAGGCTTGGAGGCCTGGAAATTTACTGGAACTACCCTAGAATTACTCCCAGAGAAGAAATATAGTCAAGGTGGTGGTGACACTACAAGCAGCGGCTAGCATAAATTCAGTGTCAGCCCCACTGTCTCCTCCTCTCTCTTTGGGACAGTGATCGTGGCTGTCTTTCTTCCTTCCATGCTGAATTCCCCAAGTACGGGCAGTGGGAGAGTGACTGGGACTACATGCTTTGCCCCAGGGTAGGTTACGAGCGACCCAACAACACTCAAAGGCAAAATGTTGGAACCCACTTCATCCCAACAGGAGAAAGGGAGAAGAGGCACACGATGGCTAGAGTGGAATTTCCCATCTGGCCATGAGAGCAGGATGGAGTAAACCCACATGGTAACAGAGAACACTGAAAGCTATAGGCGTGAACCAGCCAAAGACTGAGAAGTAAAAAGAGGCAGGAAAGTTACCAAAGGATATCAGAGGCAGCAATCCAAGTAGGATACAGAGTCCAGATCCTGGAGCCATGAGTCCATTTTTAGAGCAAGGACAGGTGGTTGGAGGGCCTGAGCGCAGTCTAGGGCGTCTCCTTGCTTTGAGTTTGCTTTTATCAGCCTATGTGGATGAGGCTTTTGGATGGATCACATGCAGCCTCCCCTCCCCCACACACATACAAACTCACAAATCTCCTGCCAAAGACCTAAGGGCAGAACAAACTGGCCACACAGCCAGATCTTCCAATATTACAGTCATTATAAAATGACCAAGCAGTGGAAATGACCTTCGGCAGCCAGGGTGGGAGAAAGTATTTCATAGAGTTAGACAAAAACTAGAAAGAAAGAAATGTCCCTGGCTAGGCATCCAGAGAAGAGTTGTACAAACACCCCCATCCTATTTCTGCAGCTCAGCTACAGCGACAGTCAGGGAGGGACTGATAGCCAGCAGCCTGGCAGGCATTTTAGCCCAGCGTGCTGGGGGTGAGATAGGGCTGGATGTGGTAGGGAGAGACCGCACCCTGGTACACCCCTGAGTGGTCTATCATATGAATATATTTGTTTCCAAATTTTAAAAAAACTAATTAAATTTGTTTCCCAAATTGTTTTCATAGAACTCTGCATACTGTTAACAATACAATGTTGAGTGAAAAGAAAGCATAATATAAAGTTTTGCGCATAGTACAATTTCGACTCTGCAAAAATGTTTCTACATATACATAGAAAGGTATTAGAAGGAAATAAACCAGTGTTTTGACAGTGTGGGGAAATTTTGAACTTTGATCTGTTGTATCAGCTGAGACTGGCCATTCTCCATCGTTGGTTGTAATCTCCAGGTTAAAGAAGCAGGAAGCAACCACGGCTGTACTGCCTACCAGCCTGTGATAAGAACGGCCTGGAGCCCCGTGGGGAGCGTTAGTGGGTTCAGGAAATGGAAGGAGAGGCCACAGAGCCAAGCAGAGCAGTCACGTCCCTCGCAAGTCTAATGAGAACTGCTCTCCTTTCCACAGCTTTTCTCATTTCTGATTTCTCTCTGCTTTCCTCTAATTTTTAACCTGTTAAACTCGTTGTGCCCTTTCATTACCAAGGTAGATATCAGTCAATTAACCAATTGATTACAAGGAGGCAGGTATGGCAAACAATGTCAACAGGAATATAATGATTACACTCCGGTTAAGTAAAGAGTAATCTGCGTAGTTCTTATCCCGTGATGCAGATTCAGCCTTTTTAATGTAACCTGTGTTTGTAATTCACCGGTTAAAAAACACCTCCAAGCACTGTTAGAAAGAGATATCCAAACCAGGGGGGACTCGACTGCGTGATGAGAAGCGGCGTGGACGGAGCAGAAAAGAACATGCATGATAAGGAAAGATATGGGGTTTGATCCCAGCACCCAGCCACCCCTGCCATAGTGCCAGCTGCGTGACCTGGGATAAGTCACATACCCTCTCTGAGCCTTAGGTTTCTCCTTTGTTAAGTGAGAATGTAATACCCATCCTTTAGGTAAATAAATATATAAAGCGATGCTAGAGGACCCAGCACCAAGAAGAGAGTGCCATTTTCTCTTCCCCTCCATGTCTCCTAAACCTCCAAATCAGGTTAATGCAGTTAAGATTATCCTTAAGATGCTCTCTGTCTAAGTGGAGCCCCATGGCCCAAAGCCTCACAATGTGAGCCACTCTTGCCTTCCTTCACGGCCTCTACCTGCACCTGGATCTAGATTTCTCTCTGTGGAATTCGCTGTGGACCAGTCTTTCTCCCTCCCAGCCTGAAGCTTTAGCTTTGCTAGGTAACCTTTTTATTCCCTCATTAGTCCGAGGTAGGTGCCAAGACAATCATATCTTTCAGATATTTAGAGTGTCTTTTAGAAGAAATTAATTGGTGCTCAGAAATACCATCACTTAATGTGAAAATTTTCTTTACTTGACAATAGTAAAAAGTAGCAAAGCTGTTTTTGCTCTTAAAATATTATTTCATGAATTCTGAATTTCCAAAGATTAATTCATCTGGTTTGAATAACCGTGTCCAATAATTAATCTTTTAGTAATTCTTTTCTTCCATGAAAAGTAAGAATTTTCTGCCTGATCATCAAGCTAGATGAGGCAAGCTTTTTTTCTTCCTTTTTTTCCAGAGACTCCAGCCTCTAGAAAGCTCTAAATCTGTTTGATAACCACCTGAAACTTTAATATCCCCATGAGCTACAGTCCTATTCATTAATTTTTGATGTAACAGTTCAGAAAGCAATCGTCAGCAGTTTCATTTGCCTACCGACATGCTAAGAGCTGGCCTTGCCTACAGGGTCAGGTGTTCAAAGACTGTTTTCCAACTGGAACTGGCCATTTGAATAACAATGACTTTGACAACAGCGGTGGCAGCACCGGTCATTCCGTCACCATATCTAGTGCCTTTTAAAGAACAATAGAGGCTGAGAATTCAAGAGATCTCTTGCAATTATGAAGACAGAGACGGAGTCCCCATCGCCACTTTCTCCCACGTTCAGTTTCCGTATGCAATTCCTCTTTAGCCATCATTGTCAAGTCCGCTCAGCAGTGGAGAATAACCCAAAACACTTAGATTGGTTTAAGGCTCCAGTATATTAAAAAAAATTACAAATGTCAAAACAGGATCCCAAAAATGATACTTTAAAAAATATTTACATTTAACAAATTAATATTTCATACCAGAAATACGATGTAAACAATCATGCTGTTCACAAGCGTCTGGTAGTATTAAAAATAATAACAGCTTACATTTGTCAAATTACTATGTGCTTGCTATATGCTATGTATGCATTGCTCAAAGCTCTTTTCATATCTTATGTCATTTAATTTTTCCAACAACCTTATGAAATAGATTCCATTATCGATATTTCAAAAACAAAGAAATTGGGGGCACAGAGATGTTCAGTCGCTTGCCCGAGGTGAAAGGGGATGGAGACAGACTTATAGTTTTCAGCACTCCAGTCCTTTTAGTGTATTTCTGGGACTGCGTGTGCTGCCTCAGTTAGAGCCCAGGACATAAGTCTAATCTGAGATCTTTGTGAATGTGACCTCTGGTCATTTGCACTAATCAAGAGGACACTTTGCCCTAATTCCAGGACTCCACACAGTGCTCATGATGCACATGGCCTCACAGGGGTGTACCCTGGCTCCACGCTTCCTTTTGGCTGGGTCTCGGCTTAGACACAAGAGTTAGTCTTCCTCTGTAAGACAATGAATACTACGCTAATCTCTTTGTCTTCTGAAAGGAGGAATTAAGTCCACTTGCTCAACAACTTCTCCAGGTTCAAACATCACTCTGAGACTAAGACATGGAGCAGAGCTGGAAGTCCACGGAAGTCACCTTTGCTGCCCTGCCTTTGTCCTCAAACCCTGGAAAAATGGGCTCTTCCTGGACACCTTCAGTATATCTTAGCAAAGTGAGTGAGCAGAAGGAGAATCATATGGCTTGATTCTTTGCATCCTTGGACAAGAGAAGGAGTGAGAGAGTGAGACAAAGGGCAACAGCAAGAGTGTGCATTTTCACCATTATTATCCCATCCCCTTCTTGAGCCATCCCAGTCTGGCTCTGTCTCCTGGACAGCTCTGTTAGTGATGCTGGTAGCGTCTGTGTTACTTAATCTAACGGATACGGTTCTGTTCTCAACCTTAGTGCACCTGCTAGTAGTTTTTGGCACCACTGACCATTTCCTCTTCCTGAAATGATCTCTTCCCTTGGTGTCTGTTCTCAACACAGTGCAGGTTTTCCTCCCACCTCTGTGGCCCCCTTCTCCATCACATAAGCAGGCCTATCCATTCTGCAAAGATTGGCCACTGGCCTCTTCTCCTCTCTCCCATTTTTCTTTGCTTAGTCTGTGGCCA